GACAGAAATGTTGACAGAAATGTTTTGGAAGTCACTGAGAGTGTGTGTGTGTGTTGGGTTCTTCAGTGTGAAACGACAGTGTGAGGAGAAGGAACAGAGGCTGGCTGTGCTGGAGGAGAACTTTTCATCTGCTCAGAAGGAGGTGACTGAGCTACGGAGCTGCCTGAGAGAGGTTGAAAGGTCCAGGCTCGAAGCCCGACGAGAGCTCCAGGAGCTCCGCAGGCAGGTCAGACGTGCTGCCGCGCATCTTTCACACCTCTGTGACATTTCTAAAGACACTGTGTTTGTTTGCAGTCTAGACTCTTGTTTTGCTCGTAGACTGACTGTGTTGTGATGTTGTGCTTTTCTTGAATCCAGCTGAAGGTTCTGGATGGGGAGAAGGAGCAGAAAGGGAGGGAGGTGGCAGAGCTGCAGACTCGCCTGTCACTGGAGGAGCAAAAGGAGGAGGAGAAAGGGAAAGAGGTTTTCACCCTCAAACAAAAGTTAACTGAAGCTGAAACAGCTCGAGACTCCCTCAAGAAAGAGGTGAGGATGGAGGAAAAGGATTTTGCTTGCTCGCTTTCTTTGTTGTGTCACAATTTTTAATTCCTTTATTTTTCAATTATTCAGCTTTCTCTGACTCAGAAGCGCCTGGTGGAGTCTGAGTCGGGCTGGCGGGCCTGCGAGAGAGAACTGACGGCTCAGCTGCAGGAGGCGCGTGGCTGCGAGAAGAAGCTGCAGGACGAAGCCAAAAACCTGGCCCTCCGTGCTCAGGCAGCTCAGGACTCTGCTGCTCAGTCCAGCCTGCATCTGAGCGAGGCGCAGGGCCGCCTTGCCGCCACAGAGGCGGAGCTGTCCCGGGCTGACGCCGGGAGGAGGGACCTGGAGTTTCGCCTGAGCAGCGTTCAGTCGGCGCTGACACGAACACTAGGCATTGGAGCAGGTGGCAGAGGGGGCCGGGGGAGGAGCCCTGGGGGGAGCTCCACATCAGCAGGCACTATTTCACGCCACCAAAGCATCTCACCACTGCGCTCCTCGCTGTCGCCTCCCAAAGGTAAAAATTAAACATGCAGCTTTATCTCCGCAACATAAGATTTAGACATTGAGTCAGACATTAAATATATCTCAGTCGGTGTTTGTGGTAGAGTCAACCATCAAAGTGAATTACATTACATACCTCCATAAAAAACACAGGGTCACATCAGAAATGCTTGTTATCAGTACAAGTACAAGAACATCAATAGCATAAAGGCCGTCTGTGGTCTTTTGCTGTGTGTCCTCTCCTCTCTCTCTCCCTCCTTTCCTGTTACTCTACAGCTGTCTCTATCTTTTAAAAGCAATAAAAGCCCAAAAATATATTTTTAAAGATCCCTTTTAGCTGCTTAAAGTGTTTTTATTTCCTAGATATAAGTTGTAGCAGACCAGTGAACCATATCTCAAAGTGAGATATAAATTATTGTTTTTCATTGCAGTAGTCATTAATTTGATACTATAAAGTGAAAAGAGAAAACTATTTATATGTACAAGGTGCTTGCGACTCTTACAGAATTTCGTGGAAGCACCCCTGACAATACTTTAGGCTCCGGCGCAGTGTCTCCTGAGAGAGGGGATACACCGCTGCCGCTCCCGCAGCCAGAGCTGGACCCCGACACACTGCGAAATGATCTGAGAGACTTCCTCCAGGAGCTGCGTGAGGCCCAGAGAGAGCGGGTAAAAGAAGAGCAATCACACCATCATATCATCATATCATATTCATAATAATTCAAGGGTATGTTTGTGTGGTTCAAGTCTGTTTATTGCTGATTTTAAAGGATGATGGCAAATGCCGGCTTGGGGCCCTGCAACGGGAGCTGGAGGAGCTGAGTGGGGAGCGAGACTCTGCTCAGAGTCGTCTCTCTCAGCTACAAAACACCTTACAGGAATACCAAGAAGGTAATTATTTGTGCAGGTAGTTTCAGAAGAAAAAGCTTAAAAGACTAAATGATCTCAAAGCCATCTTTAATGTGTGTTAATGTGTGTGTGTGACTGTAGGAAAGCGTGGACTGGACGATCGTCTGACCACCACTCAGATTTTGCTCCAGCAGCAGGAGGAGGCGGTGAGGAGAGGAGACAGAGAGAGGAGAGCTCTTACCGACAGGGTGAAGGATTTAGAGCGAGCACTGCAGGCCTCTGAGATGGATAAAAAACACACACAGGTACACGGACACACACATATATACACACACACACGTATATACACACACCATGTATTTGTACTGTCCCTTGCACAGCAGTGGCCGCTGATTTGCGATGATCACCATATGGCAGCACTCAGCAGTGGAGCCATGTCTACAATCATAAGCTGTCAGGGAATGTAATAACAACAGATGCCACACACACACAGTGTCACACCTCTCGTGGTGTCCCATGTCAGCTCTCCATATGTCTGCTTTTAATGCCAGCACCTTTCAAAATAATTCACCTTCTGGACAACAGGAGGAGGGACACAGAGTGACCATGAGGCTCTATATTAAATTTTATTTCTATAATTCTATATTAAAATTAAATGTATAAATATTTACATTTTTGAAACGTTTCAGGAGGATTAATGAAGAGAGAAAGTTAAATCTGTGGATCAACAGTGTACGCTGTGTGTCTGTTTGTTTTGTTTGGTTCTGTGCTTGCGTCTGTAACCTGGGTCGAAAATTCAAGTCTGCATTATACAACAAGGAACTCTGCCCTCTAAATGTAAACCTACTGCTCTTGAGCATGATCCCTGTCCTCCCTTCATCTCTGCAGGATCAGTTAAATAAGCAGCGAGCTGCTGAGATGCGTCTGGAGGCAGAGAGAAGGCGTCTGCGGGAGGCGCTGGAGGCAGCTGAAGCCCGGGCCACCAGGGTGGAGCTGGGCAGGCGCAGTCTGGAGGGGGAACTGCAGAGACTCAAACTGAGTCTGGGAGACCGGGAGGCTGAGAGCCAGACCTCCCAGGAGCGCCATGAGTCCTTACTGAAACAGGTAGTTCAGACTGATACTGAGTCATTTTATGTTCAAATCCCAGAGGGCTTAATGTGATTTATTAAATTAGTGATATATTTTATGTGAGTCAGAATTGATCAGGCCATTAGTTGCATCTGCTCATTTGGAAGAAATTTGACATTTTAAAAAGGTTTCCTACAAAGAACTGTGTAATTTGCTACTAATACTCTTCCATTTCATTAATTCCAATTAATACACAGTCACACAGTTATTAGTCAGTCAGGGAATATTTGGTTTTAAATAGACCACTTCTTTCAATGAACAAGGCTGTAGCATGCTGATGTTTAGCAGGTATGTATACCATGTTTTCACCATGTTAGCTTAGCATGCTAAGCTTACATGCTTACAAACTATTACAGTTCATACTGAGGGGGACATGAATGTGTCCAGCAAAGTTCATTGCAATCCATCCAATAGTTGTTGAGACATTTCACTTAAAACCACAAAACTGAATTTCAAGGTTGTGATAGATGAAAAAGTTATTAAACTTCAACCTCCGAGGACAATAAAAAAGTTGTAGTTATATATTATATTTCAGTCCGGACCAAAGTGATCGACCGACTGACATTGCCATCCATAACTAAAAAAACTATATTACCTTTTAATTAGTACCAAATAACTTAGTTGTTTCCTGGAAACTTTGTATCACTTGTCAGCAAATGAAGGGGACATTAATGTAATGTATGAAATTAAATCATTAGGTTTCAAGCTGTGTCTAGTTTGGCAAGGAGGAAAAAGTACATACACTGAAATGTATTTGACAGAAAACACAGTTGAAACAGCTTCTAAACCCCTGACTCACATCTCACTCACAATAATGATAAAAACTCACAGTAATGATAAAAATACTTCTTTCTCTTTTTCTAAATGAATTACACATATATTTGATTGGTCGGAGCTACAGGTTGCAGAAGGAGAAGCCCGTGTGTCTCTGCTCCAAAGAGAGGTGGAGAGGCTGAGCCAGGCTCTGCTCAAAGCTCAGGAAGGTGAATCTTTACTCAAAGAGAAGACGTCTTCCCTCAAAAAGAGCCTCCAGGAGGCAGGGGCTTCTCACAGCAGCACACAGAGTCGCCTGGCTGCTCTGCAGAAGGCGCTGAGTGTGGCTGAACAGGACAAAAAGCTTTTACAGGTGAGTGAGACAGAAGGAACAAAAGGCCTTGCACAATGTGGATGAAAGCTGGACAGTGATGTGATGATTCCTCTGTACCAATAAGGAACGAATGGATGAAGCCCGGGCGTCACTAGTGGAGGGGAAGAGGAATGTGGCCACCCTCACTGAGCATGTACAGAGTTTGCAGACTGAGTTGAACCAGAGTGAGCTTAGACGAGAGGAACTGGAGGCCGAGCTCAAAAACACTCAAGAGGTGAGGAAGATTATCTGCCCCAATGAGGTCTTCATACCATCTGCAGAGCTGCTGACCTGTAGCTGTACCTGTTCTGTGACTCTGTGCAGAAGGACAATTGTCCCAATATTATTATTTATAATAACTTTCTCAATGTATGCCTCTTTAGACGTTATGTCTTTGTATGTGATCTCTGTCTTTCCTCCCTCAGGCTCTGCGTCAGCGCTCGGCCAGTCTCACAGAGGCTCAGCGCAGCGCCCAGTCAGCTCAGACAGAGCGGGCCGCTGTAGAGGAGCGACTGCGTGGGCTGCAACGAGCGGTCGCCATGCTTGAGACTGAGAAAAAAGATGCTGAAAGACAGGCTGTGAGGCTGGAGAAGGACAAGAATGCACTGAGGAATACACTGGATAAGGTCAGCACTGTATCTTGTGCACAACAAATGTGGAACTTGTTTCATTAAAGTATTTCTTTACAAAGACCCATTTGTCAATTCAAAAATCTTAAAGTTCATCTGCTTTATGGACACATGTTGGGTTTTACCAACACTGTGGTACTTTCTGTATTTGGTTGTGCATTTTCTAAATTCTTTGCATGTGTTGTCCAATTGGTGAAGAAGTCTTCATTTGTTTTTGTCTATTTGCATGTGTTTTCCTAAGTTGCAGTGCATTGAGCTCTCAGGGCCACCATAACATTAGCCTATGTTTGAAATCACAATCAGGGGTTCACTTATGACTTTGAGGTATCTCACGCTTGCTGTTGGTTACATTTCTATGAATGTACCTTTCATTAGGTTGAACGGCAGAAGCTGAAGACCGAGGAAGGCAGCATGCGGCTGACTGCAGAGAAAAGCCGCTTGGATCGCTCTCTAAACACGACTGAACAGGAGCTGCAGGAAGCACAGCAACAGATACTGATGATGCAGGTCAGGAGCAGCTACTGATCAAAGCTAGACTGACAGATTCACCAGAAATCATAACTGTCTCTATTACAGCTGCGTACTGTTCGTAATTAAGGCAATATACCTGCTATACCAGACTGCTGAGTGAATGCTGGCGACAAAATTTGTTTCCATAGCTGCTTCAAACCTCTGCTGGAGAGTCCATTATATTCAAGACCAAACACGTGCTTCAATGAGCCGTTCACACCTTGTACAGTGAGACAAATTTGTCTTTAACATGACAGATTAACTCCATTGTTTGGGTTTTTTATGTTTTAGTGGAATATAAATTATTTTCCTTTCACTTATTATGAAACCACACAACCTCCAGTTTACATTTTGTAAAAAATCTGTGTCTTCACTGACTTAAGTAACGAGGGATTTTGTTTGCACCAGAAAGTGGTCTCATGAGAAAATCCTCTTATGTTACAGAACGAGGGTAGCTTGTGCCTTACGATTGCATTGGAAAGTTTAAGTTTATAAATAACAGGACAGTCAGACTTTGTTACTGTATGAACCATCATTCAACATCTCTGCACCACTCAAACATTAAGGTTGGATATTTCTGGGGAAGCTTCAGTTTGCTAAACAACAATTATGTTTTTTATTTACCACAGACACGCTATAAACGAGAAATAAATAAAGCTACAGTGGGTTTCATAAGAATTCTAGAAGAGTCATTAAAGTTGTTTATTTCAGGCTGGTTTTATATCTCAGACCACTGTTCATTTCTCCTTATTTAGTCAAATTTTTTCCAGGCTGCAGAAGTGTTCAACAACTAAAGCAGTAATTCCCTCGAGCATTTGCCACGGGGGTCTTAAGGCTGCATAACAATTATATAACTTCACAGACTATTTTTGTAATTACCTTGAAATTTGTGCTGCATCTTTCTTCATTGCTCCCTGTCACGCAAAAGCATACTGATTTTGAACTAAAGTATAAGTGAAAGCATGAGCAGAAATAAGTGGAGAATGTGCACATTGTGTCGTTTAACAAGAACCTGTCAGCATGTTGGATGTTTCTCTGCAAGGGGCCGACAACCATTTGTCAGAGGACCTTCTTCAGACCAATAAAAATCACAGATGTCCGTTGTCTCAGAAAACAACAACAGATTTGTGATGTTTACTCTTGTTAAAGCTCTGTGACTGTTACCTATAAACACTGTTGCTGGACTAAGCTGGGCCTGACTCAACTGTAATTAAAAGCAGTGCCTAATTTAGTTTGTTCAGTCTCATTGTTTTTTTAATTTACTTTTGTATTGTTAAATTCCAGATCTGGGAAACCCACATTAGGATGCGTACTATAAATGCAGCATTTAATATAGAAGAAAAAAATGGTCATTGGAGTTTCTTTGGACATAGTATACATATATATATGTTCTTATTTCCAGTTAGTCCATATTTAACCAGTTAAGGTATTTGTTCAGTATCTTGTTTAATATAGATTCACATTTTCAATTTCTACCAATTTCTTTTCCTTAAGCTCTCAAAAGATCATTACATTTTTAAATTAAATACATTTCCTGAAAACTATCAAAACATTGCTTTTTCCCTGGAGCTTAACTTGTTAAGGTTTTCTAGACAGCCTCCTCAATGTTTCCTGTAAGTGAAGCACAGTGAATGTCTTTTATTGTTGCATTTACATCGTTCCAGAGAGGCTTTAGGTTACAGCAGCACCAGAAAACCTGAGTTTGATTTACTTGGGTCACCACAGAGCCTCAAACATGGTTGTTGGATGGTTAGATGTCTACTTTTGATCCGAGGTGTTACAAAGAACCGAACCAAACCATCATCTCTCCATCGTTCAGACGTTTAGAGAGACTTCGGGTCCTTTTTTGTTAACAGTCTCTTGGTGGTCTTTTCCATCTGTGTGTGTGTGTGTGTGTGTGTGTGTGTGTGTGTGTGTTGAATAGACTCAGCTGGCTGAGATGGAGCAGTCCCACAGTCTGTGTGAGAGTCTGGTGAGGCAGCGTGACGAGGCCCAGCGGGAGTCGGAGAGACTGAGGACTAACTTCAGGGACGTAGAGCGATCGCTGGGCACCAGAGAGCGAGCTCACCGACACAGAGTCAAAGGCCTGGAGGAGCAGGTACACTCCTCAAGGTTTCTCAGATTAAACCTATTACACTTTAAATCCTGTGCTACAATAAGTGAATGATGAATGTTGGTTTAGGGTGTAACAGAATATTTAGAATATAGAAATATATTATCTGTAATTAGTTCATTTTACTACAAGCAGAAGAAAAAATTTTCTTTATATTATAATAATTTTGAGAAGAA